GATCCAGTGCAGATCCCTCAGGTTGCTAGCACAGATCCTTCATCCCACTGGTACAGACTTTCTAGCTTCCCCAACTGACTTTTGGGCCTTCCTAGCACAGATCCTCGATACAGACTTGCATGAGACATTGTCGAGGGCTTTAGGCTTCAGCTGGACTCATGGAGGACATTGCCATGGGCTCCAGGTCTTTGGCTGGACTGGCCCAGGACCTTGCTGTGGGATCCAGGCCTTCATCTGGATTCTTTAGGTCTCTAATCTACAGACAAATCTCTCACATTTTTTTATATTTGATTCTTTGGGTGATTAATATAAAAAATAATCTTATAAATTGAATGTCATATATTACATTTTTTTCCTTGTAAACCCTGACTATAACAGTATGTGGGTATGGCCTGAATACATACATGTCAAGCACTCTGGGATAGAATTTGTCCAATAAGCAAGTCTAAAGATTTCAGTCATCCAATAGTGGAATGGCTTCCCTTTCAGATAGTAAGTCACCAGTAACCTCAAACAGTAATCATCAGCTAGATAGTCACCTTTTAGTGATGTTCTAAAAGGTGTTCCTGTTGGGGTGAAGCTCAGGGTACAGAGCTTGCTTAGTATCCATGAGACCATGGGTTCAATCCGTAGTCAGACACACACACACACACACACACACACACACACACACACACAGCGTGTTTCTATAGAACACTTACTGTTTTGAACATTGCCTTGAGCACTGGCAAAAAAATGGAATAAAGAAAGGAACTGTCTTTGGCCTCAGAGACCAATATACATTGTGTTCCACCGAAGTTCATGCTGCAAACCTTAGCAGTGCAAACCATGGGAAGTCACTTTTTTTTTTTTTTAAATTTTGTCTTTTTCGGTACCAGGGATCAAACTCACAACTGCCTGCTTGCAAGGCAGGCGCTTATGCCACTGAGCTAAATCCCCAGCAGCTAAATCCCCAGCCCCATTAGTCACACTACTGCCTCTCGGGATCTTCTTCCTGGCATAGAGACACCTGCAGAGGCTGCAGCAGGGAGGAAAAAGTGAAATTAAGACTCTTTGGAGGGTTGGGGTTTGGCTCAGTGGCACAAATGCCTGCATGGCAAGCGTGAGATGGTGGGTTCAATTCCCAGTACAAAAAAAAAGATATATATATATATGACTTTTTATTAAGAAGTAGAGACTGCAAGAGGGATGGTTTAAAACAACAAAGTTTTTTTTTTTTTTAAATCCAACTTAGCCATGAAGAAGGTGGAAAACCAAGGAGTTCAGGCCCCATTGGCACAAGAGCAAACTTTTGCCTGACCTTAGGTGTTCAGTATCACCTGTGTCTTAGAGACTTAATCAGTTAACTTACTCAGTAGCAGTATTTACTAGCAGTGTTTGTTAGACATTGCTATTTTGAATCTTCTAACTATTGTCTTCATTATCTTGCTGAGCCCAAAGATCTTGAAGCCATCCACTGTGGGCTTTATCTGTCTTCAGAGCTCCTCAGAGCCCATGCTGTGGAGAAATGGACTTTGGGACTAGAGAACTGAGGATATTTTGAACATAAACATGTTTGGTAAAGATCTTTCTTTTCTGGGTTCTAGATTCCCACGCCATGTTTTGTTTTGTTTTGCTTTTTGGAGACAATGTTGCTGGCTCAAATTTGCTGCAATCCTCCTGCCTTAGCCACTTAAGTGCTGGGACTATAGAGACATACCACCGTGCCCAACGTTGGTTTTGGTTTTGGTGTTTGAGTCAGGGACTAATATTTACTCTAAATTAAGCCATGTAAGTCTGGTTCTCTTTGGAGTAAACAAATTAGACAGAAGCCATTTTCCTCTTCTCTTCCCTGCTAGTCTATATTCCCAAGAACGAGTGGGAAGGTGAAAAGAAGAGCAAGATTAACTCGGGCAACATTTTGGCGTGGTCAAAGCATTTCTTTGATATTCTGCCCCAAATCTGATGTCCCTGTGGTATATATTGCCCTCCTGGGCCCACCCACACACACTCACACACATTTTCATAAGGTCTATCTTATTTTCACATTAGGTTGATTTCAACAAGGTATGAGGAAGAAAACCCAAACAACACTAATCCATATTAAGCTGTTTAAAAAAGCTTGCCCAGGGGCCATTCACTGGCATAAGCACCTTTCTTGCAAGTGTGCGGCTGTGACTTCGATCCCTGGTACTGATAAAAAGGAAAAAGACAAAAAAAAAAAAAAAAAAAATCTTGCCCATAACAGTGTGTCTTGCTTTGTTTTGTTTCATTGAGAGGGGAATTTTATTAATTCAAATTAACCACCAAGTGGTGAAAAGTATGGATGCGTGTGTGTGTGTGTGGGTGTGTGTGTGTGTGGGTGTGTGTGGGTGTGGGTGTGTGTTTGTGCGCGCGCGCGCATATATGCTAGAGGTATTAAACCCAGGGCCTTTATACTGAGCTATGTCCCCAGTCCTTTTTTCATTATTTTTAAATTTTTGAGTCAAGGTCTCACTAAGTCACTAAGTTTCCCAAGCTAAGCTTGATCTTGTGATCCTTCTTCTGCCTCAGCCTCCCAGAATGCTGGGATTACAGGCATGTGTCATCACATCCAGATAAGAGTATAATTTTGACTAGTTAGTTCTCATTTTACATCAAACTCTATTATTTAAATCACATATTTCTTTCTGCCTAGACTGATCTACAGAGGGCTCATAGGCCGAGACTTCTGTATTTCAGAACCCTCTTTGGGGGTTGTGGCAGTGGGCACTTGGAGGCTTTCTGACTCCTGTTTGAGCCCCACAATCAAGGGAGCCAGAACCTTGCGGCTCAGATCTGAAATTCGACCTCCAGAGAAAAGGAATGCACGCAGAGGGAGAGGACTGCCCACATCAGCTAGAGTCAGCTTCATCCTAATTCCTGGGAACTGGAATTGGACACTGTTCTGGGAAACAGATTCTCCAACCTCATAGGATTTGGGCGTCCCCTGCTGGAGAAGCAGTGTTTCCAGGACCTAAGCCTAGAACATGATGCACCAAACCAAGAAACTGCCTTTTCTCACCTCTTTGTGTGTGTGTGTGTGTGTGTGTGTGTGTGTGTGTGTGTGTGTGTGTGTGTTGGGCACCAAACTCACGACCTTATGCTTGCCAGGCAGGCACTTATGCCACTGAGCTAAATCCCCAGCCCAGAACTGCCTTTTCTATCTGTAAGGTAGAAACTGAGAGGCTGGGGGGCTACAATAGTGAATTCTCCACAGTTATATATGCTGCTTCCACATACCCTGACTCCCTAAAAGCTAGAACTGCAAACTACTGCAACTCCTTCCACTTCTCTAGATTATCCTATAGCTTTCTCAGTAACTCAAATTATGGGGAGAGTGAATTTCTGGGCCAAACAACGACTGCATCCCAATCCATTTCCATTAGCCCAAGTAGATTCTGGTACACAGAGGTCTCCCTGTCCAACTTACCTGTCTACATTTGTAGAAGCTGGAAAAGAGCTGAGAAATTCTATGGTATTTGTAGAAGGTGGCAATGGAAGAGAAAATGTGGAAATGGAGGGAAAAGGTATGTCACCAGAAGACTACTTTTACCAATGAGCAACGAGAGTTACAGCTACATTTATCCAAGGGGAAATTTTACTTATTTTTAAAATTTTTGTGGTCCTAGGAACTGAACTCAGGGCCTTACACGTATTTAGGCCAAGTGAGAAGCACAAAGTATTGCTATCAGAAAATCAAATGTAGAGAAAACAAGTGCAGATATTATGGGGAAACTGTTTTCTTTCTTTCTTTCATTTGTTTTTAGTGTGTGTGTGTGTGTGTGTGTGTGTGTGTGTGTGTGTGTGTGTACATGTGTGTGTTTTGGAGACAGGGTCTCTTTATGCAGTTCAGGTTGGCCTTGAACTCACTTTGGAGTCCAGGCTGGCCTCAAACTCGAAGCAATCCTCCTATCCTCAGCCTTCCAAGTGCTGGGATTACAGGCATGCACCATGCCAAGAGAGCTGCTCTTAAAGATTGAGATTCTCGGGGCTGGGGATTTAGCTCAGTGGCATAAGCACCTGCCTTGCAAGCAGGCAGTCGTGAGTTTGATCCCTGGTACTAATAAAAAAAAAAAAAAAAAAAAGGTTAAAAAAAAAGATTGAGATTCTCAGCTTGGTGTGGTGACCATAAGTTCAAGACCAACCTGGACTTGCATAGCAAAAATCTGTCTCAAAAAAAAAAAAAAAAAAAAAAAAAAGGACTGGCCTACTCATAGAGTCTGAATTGAATGAAGTGTAAAGGAACTTACCAATATAATTGGAATACAATTGGAATGTCTGGATTTTTTTGTTATTCTTTTTTGAGTTGGTGTTTTGGGTTTTTTTGAGGCAGGGTCTCACTATGTAGTTCCAACTGGCCTTAAACTCGCTATGTAACCCAGACTGGCCTTGAACTTACAGCAGCCCTCCTGCCTCAGCCTCCTCACTGCTGCAATCACAAGAGTGTGCCACCACACTTGGCAGAATGCCCAGATTTTAAAGAGAAGGATATAGAGGAGGTACAGAGAAAAACAGAAATTCTTTTATTTTTTTTTTTTATTTTGAAGGTAGTAAAATACAACAGAACAAGACAGAAAAAAGCCAACTGAGACAATGCAGTGTAACTGGTACAGAACTTCACAGCAGGATACCAAGATAACAGTAATAGGTACCATAGTATATCCTGCTATCTTCAAAATAGTTGTCCAATCAGCTACAGCAAAATCAAACCAAAAACAGAACATTATAAAACCTATCAAAACAGAATATTGAATAGAGCAAAACAATTAATCAGAACAAAGCAAAACAGTGAGAACAATATTTGCCTGAAAGAGATGATAGAAGGAAATCCCCCATAATGGCTATATTGCATATGGTCATCATCCCAAGAGATGCTCAGACCTCTGGCTCCTAGTTTCTAAGGGCGGGTGGGGTTGGGGGTGGGGGTGGGGGTGGGATGTTGATTCTCAGCTCCGTGGAGGGCTCATGGAAGACGCTGATTGGTTCTCTTTCTGGCTCACTTGTCGATCGCTGGAGCCACAGTTGTTCAGTGCCCTAAGTTCCAACATCGCTGAATCTCAGGGGACGCTGACCCGTTCTCTTCCTGGCTTGCCCACTGCTCGCTCAAGCCACAGCTGCTTACCCAGAGAGCAGGCAGGTTGCTCACTCTTATTTTTGTCAAGGACTCTTATTGTTTTGGAAGACACTGTCAGCTCCTTTTGAGCAGAACCGTGTTTATTAGACTCTTTTTCAGAAACTTCTGCAAAGTCCAAAGATATCCTTTTGTGGACTAACTTCTCCAACAATAAAAGGAAAATTTTTACTTTTTCAAACACCTTTACAAGATCTGACTAGTTCATTCATTATTCTAGTCCTGGTCTTGGCCATCTCCTAAAGCTGGGATTTAAAGGTATAAAGGCCAAATGAATCCCACACTCTAAAATTAAGCACTTCCAACCTCATCCCTTATGTCATTCTTTTTTTTTTTTTTTTTTTCGTCTTTTTTGAGACAGGGTCTCGTGCCATGCAATTCAGGCTGGCCTTGAGCTCACTTTGTAGCCCAGGCTGGTCTCGAACTCGCAACGATCCTCCTGCCTCAGCCTCCCAAGTGCTGGGATTACAGGCATGAGCTACCATGCCCGGCTCCTTATGTCATTCTTAATTATTTTCTTCCTTCCACATCCAGTCCAAGACACCCTGTTGGCTCTGTCTTCAGAATACAGCTTTTTTTTTTTTTTTTTTTTTTTTTTTATCAGTACTGGGGATTGAACTCACGACCACCTGCTTGCAAGGCAGGTGCTTATGCCACTGAGCTAAATCCCCAGCCCCAAAATACAGCTTTTTAGGAGAGAAAAGTCAGCATCTCCCAAGAATCGGCCATGCTGGGACTTGGGGAACCAATCAAGAAATTAACTAGCCAGCCTTTCTGGTAAGCTGTGCAAAGCTGTGTGGGTTCCAGGGAGAGAAAAGTCAGATGGCACCTCCTATGAGCCTCCCAGCACATAGGATGAGAATCAAACACTGTCCACGTCCCCCTTCCTTCAAGCAGCCAGATGGTTTGGAGGACAGGCTGAGTTGATAGCCAACTAAGGTACATAAAGCAACTACATGCTTGCATTTTCTGGCTGATTTTGCAGGCCTGGGGCCAGCGGTCTGAGCATCTCTTGGGAGGATGGTGGTATGCAATATAGCAAATATGGTGGATTTCCTTCTATCTTGTCTTTGAAATCCAATATTGTTTTCACTGTTATGCTTTGTTCTGATTGTTTTATTCACTAGTCTGTTTTGACTGGCTTCATTATGTTTTGTTTTTTGTTTGATTTTGCTCTATTTAATGGAATGGACATCTATTGTGAAGATAACAAGATATACTATGATAGCTATTGTTGTTTTCCTGGTATCCTGCTTTGAAGTTCTGTAGCAATTTTGCTGCATTGTTTTGATTGGCTTTGTTATGTCTTGTTTTGTTGGATGTTACTATCTTTAAAATAAAATAAATAAATAATAAAACAAAATACATCTTTTCAGCCTCATGGAGTGGCACGTGCTTGTAATCCCAGCATTTGGGAACCTGTGGCAGGAGTTAAGTAGGATAGAAGAAATAGAAAGTATATAGAAAAAAAGAAAAGATAACTGTGATTTTAAAATTAAGAACTGTACTGGGGCTTTAGCTCAGTCATACAATGCTTGCCTGGCAAGTGTGAGGTCCTGAGTTCAATTTCTGATACCTGCGCCCCACCCCCCCAAAGAAAGAGGAACTGCAGCCTCTAGGCAATCCTTTTTCCGGAAACTCACTCAAAAAAAAAAAAAATTCCTAAGTGTCTTTTTCACCTGTAAATTGCACATCCTCCACCCCCAAAGGTAGATCTGTCCTTTGTATCTCTAAATCCTGCTTTTTCTACCAAGGAGCAGCAACACTGGTGGCAGCAGGTCTCAACTTCAGACATGCAGACAGCTTGTACTGTAACCTGACAGTCTAGATCATCATCTTAAAGACTCCCTTGAGGTGTACCCCATCCCGGCTTGTGACCTGTCTCACTTCTCTGAACACTATTCTTCAGCGTGCCCTTCAATCTCTGCCTAATAGACCCTACTCATGCCTCTTTTTAAAAAATACTGAAAATTCTTTTTGTACACTGGGAACCAATGAATCTCCAACTTTATTTATTTATTTATCTGTTTGAGACAGGGTCTTGCTATGCAGTTCAGACTGGCCTTGAACTCACTTTATAGACCAGGCTGGTTTTGAACTTGTAATGATCTTTCTGTCTCCCGAGTGCTAGGAGTACAGGTATGTGCCACCATGCCTGGTTCCAAATTTATTTTAAAAGAGTGGAATAGGTTCCTTATTGCAGCTTCAGGAACCTCTTAGATTCAGCTCTGGTGACAATCAGGATTGCTGTCACTTTGAGGCCAGCCTGAGCTCCATAGTGAGACCCTCTCTCAAAACAAATCAAACAGAAAAAATACATTTTTTCTCTCTAATTCACTGGTATGATACTGGTCTCCGAGTTTCATAATCTCTTCTGGACAGCAGCATGGCTCCTTGCTGATCTAATACTTCCCTTGACCTTTTTTTTTTTTTTTTTTAGTAGGGTCTTGCTAGATAGCCCAGACTGGTCTCAAATTCATTATGTAGCTCAGGCTAGCTTTGTGATTCTCTTGCCTCAGTCTCTTGAGTACTGACATTTCTTGCCCTTCTCTCATTCTTTTATAGCTGGGTCTCAACACAGAAAGATACTGTGGATTGAACCCATTTCTTGCACTGAGCTACAGTCCAAACCCCTCCACACTCACTTTATTTTCTTTATTTTTTCTTTATAATTTTTTTTTTTTTTGTCTTTTTCATTTTTATTGGTACCAGGGATCGAACTCACGACTGCCTGCTTGCAAGTCAGGAGCTTATGCCGCTGAGCTAAATCCCCAGCCCCTATTTTCTTTATTTTTGAGACAAGATCTTGCTGGGCTGGAACTTCAAATCCTTCCGTCTGATTCCCAGGGCGCTGGAGTTCCAACTGTGCGCCACCAAGCCTGACTCGTTTAGTAATTCTTTTCAATGTAAGACATTTCCTGTCACCCCCTTGGTTTGCTTCCCATTTCCCTCTAAGTAAAGGCTTAAGTTCCAGTTCTACAAAATCAGGTCTCTGTTCCACTCTTTGCTGACCTCGTCTGCTGTCACCATTCCCTATCTCTTTCTGTTTCAGGCGCAATGGTGTCCCTGCTATTTCTCAAACACAGCAGGCAAGCTTCCAATTTAGGACTATTGTACTAGTATTATAGACAGCTAAATTAGACAGAAATTTGTGTACAGTCCTTGAGGGGTTACACTCTTAAGACAGCACAGATATAGAGACATCAGAATTGGGCTGGAAGTAGACCTAAAGATGAAGTTAAAGTGGCCAGGCCTGCATGTTTCCCTAAGAGATAAACAGCAACTTGAGATTATACTGTGATTAGCACCACCTGAAGCAATACATCCAGTTATGCATCAAATGCCCAGGTGGGTGAATAGAGCATCTAGACCCATCTCTTAACCAAAATGCTTTTATTCTTCCCATGTACCCTTCCTACATGACTCATTTCCCTATTGGATTAATATTAGCTAAGCCACTATAGTTGCAATTCTATAGGTTGATTATAGTTTGACCCATGTTGTATTCACTTTGTGATTTTGACATATTTATTATCCCTCACAAAGAGCCTTGGTGGCTACCCATTCAGGTCCTCTCCTAGAAATCCAGGCATTATTCTTCTTTTCCTTATTTCCAATAAAACTCTCTTGGGGCTGGAGGTTTAGCTCAGCGGCATAAGCACCTGCCTTGAAAGCAGGCAGTCGTGAGTTCGATCCCTGGTACCGATAAAAATGAAAAAACAAAAAAAAAAACAAAACAAAACAAAAAAAAAAACTCTCTTAATTTCCTCCTTTGACTCATAACTTCATTCCTCAATATTATGAAACTGCAAGCTAGGCTCATCTGACATCTAACATGTCTAGAATTACATTTTTCATATATCACCATCTCTTCCTCTGCCTCTGACATTTCCAGAGATACCCACATGAAAGTCCCTTCCCCAACTTCAAGTCCTTGTTCACATGTTACCTTTTCAATGAGGACACCCTGATTACCATATTTTATTTTATTTTATTTTTGGAACCAGGGTCTCACTATGAAGTTCAGGCTGGCTGTTTTAGTTACTTTTTTCTCATTGCCAGGACAAAATACCTAACACCCAAAGTTAAAGAGGGGAACGTTTATTTAGCTCACAATTTGTAGAGGTTTCAGTCCATAATCAGCTGACTCCAGGGCAGAATGTCACATGATAGAGGGGCAACAGTTCATGATGTTCAAACCTCTTTCTGTCCCTTATACTATATGCAGGCTACCTGCCTGAGGGCAGATGTAGCATTCACACCCTTAATCCTACTATTGCACTACAAAGCAATCACATGCTCTAGATTCAGCTACCTCCAAAAAAGCTGCATCTAAAACTGCATGAGGCTTGAGGGGACATATAAACACAAACCATAAGATTCCATCCAGGCCTCCTCAAAGATATATATATATATAGCTATGTAGTCCGTCTCTAAGAGTTGCCAAAGTCCTAACAGTTTTGGCATTGCTGAAAAGTCCAAGCCCCAAGTCTCCTCTGAGATTTAAGGCACCTGTACCTTAAGGTGCTGTGAGTCCCTGTACAAATGAAAACAAAAGTTAAATATTTCCCGCATTCAATGGCTGCCTGGAAAACACAAGGCCTTGAGTTCAATTCTTGGTACAAAAAAAAAAAAAAAAAACTCAATGGCATAAGATAGACATTTCCATTCCAAAAGTTACAAACAGGAAATACAAAGGAACAGGACCAAAGTAAGTCCAAAATATAGAGTTGAGCACCAAATATAGAGAACACTTTTCTGACCTGTCTAGGTCTAGGAAGGTTTATAATGGTAATCCCAAAGAGAAGTCATTGGAATTCCAATACCACTTCCAGTACAACCCATGGTGAGAAGAAAAACACTGAGACATATATACAGTTGTGGGGAGCCAAAGGGTCCTAAGTCCAGCCAAGATGG